CTTTGAAAAGTTGATTTTCAATGGCTGTATGCATAGTAGCCCATTGTTTGGAAGGCGTGTGAGGCCTTTCTCCTTCAGTGGGTGTTGAGTTAATAAGTCCTGATTTTTGCTGTTATAAATAAATCTACAGTGTTGTTATTTTCTTACCTGAGGAATCGGGATACATTTCTGAAAGTAGAATTACCAGGTTAAAGGGTAAACATAGGATATGAACAGCTTTAAGACTAATTACAGAGTGTCAGATTCCATCCCTGAGAGACGGTGCCAAAAGAATTCTTTTAGCCTTTACTTACTGCATCTAGGCAATTTCACTATTTTCTATTTCATCATTATAAGTATGGAGACTTTTAAGGCCTTTTCCTTAATTCAATCACTAGTTTTAAGACTGTAGCTCAAACTAAGTGGTGAATTGCTGAAGTCATTTTTAGAATTGGATGACACCTCAGATATCACATATATATTATTATTAATAATATAATAATAATTGAAGAAAAATATATAGCTTCTGTGTACTCAGCTTTCTCCTGAGGAATATTGGAAATTATGTTTCTGTAAATCACCTTCTCTGTACCTTGCGCTGTGTGAGGGAATGATACTGTAGAGAATTAGGCCAAGAAATAAAGGCAGCAGGCTGGTTGGTTGGTTGGTTGTTTTTTAATTGGCTTACATATTCTTCCCTGAACTTGTTTCTTGTTTAATAATTATTTGTAAGTTGAATGGAAAACACAAAAGCAGATTGAGACTGACTATACATTTTAGAGCTGGGCAAGATAGCTTAAGAGACTTGGTTCTTTTTTTGTCCTATCACTTAGATTTTTTTAAGACTAAATTTTATAGGCCACTGTTACTTTATAAATTGCTAGTATTACCGTAATTGATTTGAACAGCCTGCCAGAGTCACTAGAATGTGAGAAACAAACTTAATTAATTGTTGAAGTCACGTGTGTGCACTCTATTCTTGGAGCCCAAGTTTGGTATAGGCATGCTTGTATTAAATTTAGCTTACTCTTTAATTAGAACCATGCTTCATCCTGCTGTTTTTATAAAATGGTGGGATAATTCTGAAGAGTCAGTGTTCTACTGGAAACACCCAAGGTTTTCTTTTAGCACAAGGTGTCTAATGATTTGGAGTTTCAGAACGAAGCTATCAGCAGCCCATAATGAGGACTTTGGAATGTTCCATCTGGAAGGTTTCTTAGGGCTAATCAGTAGTTCTCAGCCAGAGGAGATTCAGCCAGAGTGGGTGGGCAGGGGGGTTTTTTGTTAAGCCTAGGAATATTATGGAATAAAGTGCAAAGTTATAGGAAGTTTAAGACAAGGCATTGGATGTCAAGGTCATGTGCTTACTACCTGTAACCCTGGGCCGACCCCAAGGAGCTAAGTTCACTCGCCCCTGCTTTTCATGTCTCATAGTGGAGGATGAAAACCTCTGACAGCGCCCAGCCTTTCTTTCACTGACAGAGAAGTGATGCCCAGAGAGGTGAAGGATCCTTCCCACCTTACATAGGAAGTTACTTGGCATAATGGGAACTGTATGGCAGGTGGATCTCACCATCTTAAGTGCCGTATTCTACATTTACCGAAATCTTGTTTCATATAAAGGTTTTCAGTGACACTTACTGGATCAGAGAGTATCTCAACTCTAGCTCATTGCTTATTGAAAATGATGTCTGAAAGACCAGTTTTGTCCTTATTTCATTAAGGCCGGGCACTCAGAAGCTAGTTATGTCCTGTGAAAGGCTGGGTGACTATTCCACATGCTGGAGCCCAGTTTAAGTGCTTGGGGCCTGCAGGTCAGGGGAGGTGAGGGGCAGTGGCAAATGGGTAATTTTTGCCCAGGGCCATGGCAACTACTACAGAAGGGTGTCCTTTCTGATAGATTGCCACCAAGAGTAGTGGTTTAATCATTATTTTTATATATCATTTCTCTCGTCTCTGCCAGTCACTTCTGTGTCCTCTGACAACACCTAGCACCGATCGGGTTTAAATGGCACCCGCTTAACACTTGCTGAATTAAACTTGTTCATAAAGTTTGGGTGGTGGGGAGGTGGTGTGTCTGTATGTATACATACGGGTGCATGCTAAATTTTCACATTGCTACTCTGTTTTATGGGGGGAGAATGTCATGGAAAAATAGAGCTAAGCTAGCCAAGTTCTTCTGTTGACATAGAACGCACCTGCAAAAAGACGGTTTGCTGTATGTAATATTTTTATTTAAATGCTTGTGGTGTTACATCATTGACTTAACCTATGTACCAGGTCATTATTCAGAAGAGGAACTGTTATTACAGAAGAGATTTTCTGAGAAAAGTTGATCAGTCATTCAGGACTCCATAGAACATTGAGTTAGTTTTATTAATAATACCAAAATAGAATTTTTCATATATCTTATCCTTAGAATTCACTTGAAACTGGAACATTATTGAGAGTTTGAGGGGGAAAATGTGGTCTGGTGCTATGATTCCATAAATGAAGAATAATCTTGAGGTTTTAGAATACGACTTAGAAATTCATCATTTTTTGAATTTATATGTATGTGGCCGAATGGAAAGAATATTTGCTCACAACGAACTTATTGAAAGTGGGATGTGTGAGTGAGTTGAAGCTGACAAGAAGTGACAGTGGCACACAGTGTGACTGATGCTGGCATTGTAATGTCTTGAGCACCGTGTGAAGCTGAGAACAATGGTAAAGAAGGGGAGAACCCTTGTAAAAGTCCGCTTTATCTTTTCACTCAGTAATTTAGTTTTTATAAAAAAGGCCCCCATCGTGTTGCTCATGACTTTCTACTCTTTTGAGAAGCTTTATTTAAATTTCTTTTTTGCAAGTTCCAAGTGGTAAATACAACTCTATGAAAGAATAAAGTAGAAAGAGAACTAATAGGTATGAAGCCCTTGAGTTCCACCAAGGTCGGAGCATGCACTGCCTTATTTATTTAGTTCTCCCAACAGCCCTGAGACGGAGCTTTCATCGTTCTTGTAAATACACCAAAAGTTTGCCGACCCCTGGAAGAGCCAATCTTGTCCCTCACAACAATTTGAAAGTTATTCGAGAGCCATAAATATATTTTTACATAATCACCATTATGTGACTAATGTCCTTTAAAATTTTTATAAATGAAACTATGATAGTTTTATTTTCATTTTCAATTTTACTTCAGAGCCTGTGGCTCACAAACCGCAGTTTGCTGACCCCTGGTGGTTCTTCTGTCTCAAGCTTGCCGACCCCTGGTATACACCATACCTGCAGTCCGCGTCTGCTGTCTGTGATTCTCTGCTAAATCCCCGCCTTCTGGGTTAGACTTGGAGCTCTGTGCCTACATTTGCTCACTGCTGCTGTGAGCCCATCCAGGGCTCCCTCCTGCTCAGCTCAAGAGTGTTTTGATCTCTTATACACACCATCTTGGAGGAACCGTGTGCTATGGGCTCCTGGTTCACCCCCTACTCACTCCTGCCTCCCAGATAAACTTGCTAGTATTTGGAACTTACTATGGCAGAAGCCTGCACTAAGTTCCACAGAAAAGACCAGTAATACTGTGGATTGCCATCCCCCCTGCCCAATTTTTATAATGAAAAATTGCAGAACTAGCCAAAACTCTGAAAGAATAAAACAGTGAACACCACCATCTAGATTCAATTGTTGTTACACTCTGCCATATTTATTTTCCTTTCTCCCTTTTCCTCCATCCCTTTCTCCCTCTCTCCATACAAATACATATTAAAATTAATTTTTTTTTTGACTGAACCTAAAAATTCGAGTGAACTTCTATATTCTGAACCTAGGGTGACATAATCTGAGGATCCAAATTCTTACTGCTTTTTACTATTTCTTCTAAAAGTAAAATGCTGGTGTTATTTTTTGTCTCTTTAGTCTCTTTTAATCCAGATGGTCCCCCTCCCTCTCTCCCTTGTTCTTTTTTTTTCTTAAAGTATTTCCTGGGCTGGCTGAGTGGTGCGTTGGTTAAGACCTGGCTTGGGATGCCAGCTCTGAGCAGCAGGGCCCCGGTTCGGATCCCACATGAGGGCAAGTGTCACTGCGCCCTCTACAGCTAAGATGGTGAACAACAGCTCGACCTGGAGCTGGGCTGCTGTGAGGCGACGGCGTAGGTTGCAGTGGGGCTGGCCAGCAGCTGGTGTGACCCACCATGAGCGGCTATCCAGAGGCCGGCAACCGATCTGCCTCACCCAGGAAGAGCGCAATGATAATACCAACATGGGCCAGTGAAGCGACGTCCTCCACAGCTAGACTGAAGAACAAAAGGACAGCAACTTGTCTGTTTCCCTTCCCCGATTCCCCAACATTGTTCTCCTCCCCCAATTCCCCAATAAAATCTTTAAAAATACACACACACACACACACATTTTTTTCCCTTTTTTTACCATCATAACTCTCGATTTGATTTCCTGGCTGCACCATTTAAACTATGAGGTGGGATCATTTGTGGATATTGAAGTCCGGATGTTTGGGATTTGCCTTCGAAGGCTTGATGTTGATCATGTTTGCTGCTGCAAACATGTCCCTTTTTATGTCCCCCTTCTATTGAAAGTACCTCAATTAACGCATAGGGCCACCCCACCTGCCGGTGTTTGAGGACACAGCAGACGACTAACTTCTTCACTGGCTTTTATTGTGTCTCCCCACATCCACGGTGGGAGGGGGATATTGGCTTTATGAGAAGCCTGACGTGTTAAAGGCTCACGATTGATATGATGTGAATAGAATTTGGTGTTTAATATGAAATCTGAATAGTGTAATGTGATACAGAGCACTGCGCCTATTAAGCTGTACAGTCAGGAAGTAACTTCGTCTGTGGAAGGGTTTGCAGCCCGGGAATACTGCTTTTGCTAAAATGATTCCAAATTTCGAAATACCTGAATTAAACACACAGGAGATTGTAATATTCTTCGTGTATGTCTGTGATGTCGTTACACAACAATCAGTTTTAATCAAAACATAAATATTGAAGTCATGATTTCTCCCTTTCCATGTTCCTTATCTAGAAAGAGCTGGGCAACAACCCTGACTGTCCTCAGATGTGTGCCTATAAGCTGGTGACCATCAAGTTCAAATGGTGGGGACTGCAAAGCAAAGTAGAAAACTTCATTCAGAAGGTAAGGCCTGTTCAAAAGACAGTGACTTAAATTTAGGTTAAGATTTGAGGTGGCTATTAATGGAATATTTTCCCTCTTAGCTTTTCTTTTTTTCATTTATGAGGTTTAAAATTCTTGTCCCTTTGTAAATCCTCTGATCTTTTTATCCCTAGAAGCAGCAAAGACAGCAGAGGTTTTTAAGGGACTTTCTTTAGCAAAGATCATAGCAATATTTTGTTCAAAGTGCTTTCCTGATGGTTTGCCCATTTCTTCGGTAGAGAGCCCTTTCCACATACGGCGTGTCCCCAAAGGGGACCTGGTGTCCCGGCATTGGCTGGCTGGAGAGAGAGGCTAGGCCTCGCCTGTTGAGGGGCTCCTTCATGCTAGCTTGGCTGGATACCCCTCATCCCCTCCACACAGGTCTCTCCTGGCATATATCTTCTTGTGTACTTTGCACTTGTGCCATGTCTTTTTTAGGGGCCTCACTGAGAATAGTTATACTGTGAACCTAGGGTGACATAGTCTGAGGATCCAAATTCTACTTCCTTTTCACGGCTCCTTTATTAAAGTGAAAGTAACGGGACAGTTGATCTAGAAAGAGGGGAGGATTGCAATTGTATAAAAACACACGGTTGTAAACACATAAGGAATAGGGCAAGTTTCTTCGGTATTTCCTCTTCCTGTAGGGTTACTATTTATTCCATTATCATTATAAAGAAACCCTTGTTGTATCTGCACCCAAAACTAGTGGCGGCTGAACTTCACCATAACTTTTCTACTTTTAAACTGCAACTGCTCTAACATTTTATTTTTTTAAAGATCTTAAAGTGCTGGAGACTGATTATTCTTGGGCCTGCTTACAGTTGGCCCACAGTAGGCACTCTGTAAATATTGGCTTCCTTCCTTCCTTCCTCTTGAATCATAATAATAGATTAACAATCCAGTTCTGATAAATAGAAGTCACACATGTAATTGATGAAATCCCTTTTGTTCATAGAAAAAAAAGTAAAAGTTGAAGATTGTCCAGAGTACTAAAGTACTCCCTGTTCAGTGTACTTTTTTTCTCTTCTTGGGAAAGTATAGTAAAGCTTAAATAATCCAGCAATTAAAATCACTAATTACATATATGGTTTTATATATGTGTGTATATATAGGCAATAACATTAGAGTAGAAAAATTAATGGAGAGTATATATAATTCTTAATAAAACATCCTATTCCAAAGAACCCAGGACTGTCTTCTTCCAGTACATTACTGTATTCCACCTCATAGCATTCCTATGAATTGCAAAGAAGTTAAGAATGATAATGTATAGTTTTATAGACGAAGAAATTGAGTTGACCTGTGTTCATTCTAATTTCGAAAAAGGTAAAAATCAATCAGGTCCAACAGGAGTTTATGTAGGGTCGGAATGTATAAACCACACTCTTTTTCAGTCTCTACTAAATCATGCTGCCCTTGCAAGGAGATATTTCACAGTTCACAGGGAAAACTTGCTTTTATATAAAAAGAGAATAGTGTGGAATTAAGACTTCCAGTAATTGACATCGTGGTGTTTTCAAATCAAGTGTATGTAGATTTCATGGGCTAATTGGGACACAGAAAGTTAATATGTCATTAATCTTAGAGTTTTACCATCTTACACTACTTTTCTTCTTTGTTTTAAAAGCAAGAAAAAAGAATATTTACAAACTTTCATCGCCAGCTTTTTTGTTGGATTGACAAGTGGATTGATCTGACAATGGAAGACATTAGGCGAATGGAAGATGAAACTCAGAAAGAACTAGAAACAGTAAGACTTCCTGTTCTGTGGAAACTCTAATTTTCTTCCCTTTCTAGTTTTGTCTGTGTATGTGCTTAGTAAGGATAGACTTAGAATTAAAGAGTGTTACTAGAAGCCATTCCTTAATCTGTATATGAGAATCAAAATCAAGTTTCTCAGACTCGAATACGTCTTTACATGTTCTTGATTTCTCTTTTGTTGAGCATCTTTTCATGAAAGTAGACTAGAGCTTTATTGATTTCTAATTTGGTACCTGTAAGATGTCCAGTGGGTTTCTATTCATTGTCATGCATTAGTTCTCTGCGATGGTACCTGGTTCACAGTTCATTTAGACATCCATTTGATCAGGCCAGGTTGCCTTTGGCTCATTTTGTCACCATAGTAAGTTATTAATGTTAGCACAGGAGGTCCTAGTTCCCTCTTTTGTAGAAAACATAAAATGAATTGTATTGTCACTGATTCCAGAAAAGCCCTCTCCTCTCCTGCAACTAGCGGTGAAGCCTGTTTCCTCATAAGCTTTAGGCAGAAATTCAGGTGACCCTTGGGCTGGAGGTCAGCATGCCATGTTTCAAAATTAAAGCCCACCCCAGCTTCGTTCCACCACCAGTGAGCAGACCCTTCAGTGCGTGCGCACCCCATTTCTCCCAGGCACAGATTCTTCCCTGATTTCCTCTTGCACGTGTCTGGTTTTGCTTTTGCTCTGGGCTCCACTTCTTTTCAGTTGAAAGTAAGGCCCCACGGGGGGAGTGAGCCCAAGGAGTTTCCAGGACAGGCCAGTGGTTTCCATGCAGTCATCTCGTCCTGCCAGCAGCCCCAGTTTTGGAAGCCCTGCAGGCGAGAGTGTTTGACAAACGCCTGTGTGTGAGGCAGGAACTCCATTTAATCACAGGAGAGTGGCAGCAAATCAGGTTCTTTGGCACAAAAAGAAATCTATTTGTCTGGCACAGAGCATCGTAAAGAATCTGTGTTTAAAATTGCTTACTTTTGGTGATTACGGCAGATCTGCTTCTAATTAGCTTTATACAAACCTTCTGAGGGGACTAGGACATAGTTTCTTTATAAGGCAATAAAATGTTTTAACCTTATCTTATACATAAAGTAAACTTGAAGCAGTCTCCAACTTATGAATGGGTTTTGTTCCAAAAGTTTTTAAGTTGATTTTTTGAAAATTGGAACGTGTTTTCCCATAGAGAAAAGAATATAAACTGGGGTTCGGTTTCTAGGCCAGCCAGTGGAAGCTCCCTTTGACCTCAGTTTCTCATACTAGTAGTATGACTTTTGAGCTTTGGATCTTGGGAATGGGGTGATAGAATGGCAGCCATGGAAGACTCTTCCACCCACTTGTTTTTAGGCTGGCCCCAGGCAAAACATGTAACTAGGCAAGGGTGTGAGCCATAGGTGCTTCCTGCCTTTTTTTCCTTGCCTCTCCCACTTCTGTCTCCCCTCACTCCAGAGGCAGATGCCCCTTTGTAGGAAGCACCCCTCGCCACCACCCAGTTTGAACCCCCTTTCCCCGCCTTGCCTGATTTCACTCCCTCCAAGGGCTCCACACTTCAGAGATACCTGCTAGCTCTGTCTCCAAGCCCTGTCGAGCAGCTGTGTCAGCTGAACGTTAAAAAGAAGGCAGCATGATAAGACTCATTCTCACTAAGCTTGTACGGGACAGCCTTGGCATCTCCAAAAAAAAGGGTTTACCAACACCAAGATAAAACAGAAAACAGACTAACTTTTATTAGTTTGAACTCTCATGAAGGAAGCTTTTTGGGTTTTGATTTTTTAGTTGAAGCGCTGTCCATAACATGAGGAACAGTGGTCACGGTTGAAAGGTGATGGATGGAGCCCTCTCTGGTTTGGGCTCTGAACCCTGCCTTCCTCTGGACCCCTTGGCCTGAACTTAGCTGACACCTCTTCCCCCAGCGGGTTGCCCTGCTTCCCTCCCAAGTTCTCGAGTCTCTTGATACCTGAACACAGAACAGCCCGGTGTCAGCCTGACGAGAGCCCTGCTGAGGAGGGGAACGCCTTCCCACCTGTGGCGGTGGGCCTGCAGGCTCAGCTGCTTTCCATGCAACCAGTCATTCGTGAGTTAGCAATTGCACTTGAAAAGACAAGTAGTTACACAGGAGGAGCCCAACTTATTAGACGATATTATCGTTGTACCCACGTGACTCAAACTTATTCCTCCAAGAAGTGGGTAGGCATCAGTCATTGGCTCAAGGTTGGAAGTATATGACAGTTTCTTTGTTAATCTTTTAAAAACAGTTTCAGCAGTAAGTGCTAATCATCTTAACATAAAGTTCCATTTCAGTTATTTTGCTTGAGGTCACTGGGGAGTGTGGTTACTCCACATCACATCGCCACTGCTCTGAGCCCTAACAGTGGGTTTGAGCATCTTCCGAATCTGGGCAGCATCATGCCTGCAGGCCAAACCACCCACCTGAGGCGGCTTAACGTTTTCCAGGCCTCTTCACCTAAGAGGAATTTCCCCTTTTCTCCCGGTCCTACTTCCCTGACACCTGATGATAGAATTGGATACATTGTAATTCTCTCCTTAATTCGCAGCTATTTTAAGAATTGGATTTCTTTCAAATGGGGTTTGGCCCTGGAGAGAAGGAATAGCATCTTGCAAGGTTAGGCATTAGAGGAATGCCCCAGCCTGTAAGCCCTGCAGAGAGATACTGGTTAGGCTGAGCAACTGAAGGAATGAATACTTTAGGCAGATCTTTCGCATTTGTTCTCAACTGGCATGTCTGTGAGGGGTGGGAAAGAAAGGTGGAGGAAGTTTAGAAATGTGTTTGTTGCATTTGTTCCTTTTCATTCTTTTCCTTAATTTTCTCAGTGAGGTTTTTTAATTGTAGGCTGTTATGAATGCTTCTTTCTGATGCATCTCTGTGTCCTTTGTGGTTTCTCATACATTGTTCCTGTGCTTGCTTGTTAATCCTTTCCACTTCCCTCTTTTCAATAAGCTTCCCATAAAGAAACTCCTCTGAGGGACCCTGGTCTCAGAAGCAGCATAGGTGGCCATACCTCATGGCTTCCTGTCTAGTCTAGAGACTATGAAAACATGAACCAGACCATCAGGGCATTTGCTCACATCATGTTGGTGAACAGTTCATTTACCCTTGGCTATCTTTGATAATTTCACATCATCAGTCTGCAGGCTTTTCCTAGATTCAGGAATAGAGACACATTTTTGGGGCTGTGTAAGAAAATCCTTTTGCAGGATTTCCTTTAGACCAAGATTACTTGAGAGGCCTAGAACTTCATTCTCTATGTGGATACAGTTATAAACAGGCACCGGTCACTTCACAATCTAGATTTTTTTCCTCCCCTTGCTTACTAACCCAATACAGAGTCTGATTTCAGCAGCTCATGATTTTATTTTACATTTAGATGCGTAAGAAGGGTTCCGTCCGAGGCACGTCGGCTGCTGATGTCTAGATGAGTCCCCTGTAGGGTCAGAGACAATATCAAACTGTGTAAGTGAAGACCTGGGTAAAAGAATGTTTAAAAACCAATACCTTTTTGGTAATGGGTAGTTAACTTGCCAAGCAGAGACTAAGTGTTAAATGTGGTTCAATTTTTAGAATGTAAGAGATGCATATTTTAGAAATTGACAGTGAACACTTGAGTTACTATTTTGTAAAAAGTATCTGTGGAAGAGGTTGAATTTAGTTGTCCCAAACTAGTCTTAGTGTTACTGGGTTAGAAACCAGTTGCCAAGTGTGCTTACTCATCATGTAACATTGTGCTAGAAGGCAGCTGACTTCTTTCATCGATAGCTAGTTAATTGACCTATTTCTCAGGACCATTGGTGGTTAACAAGGAAATACGTAAAAGCTTTTTAAGTCAAAAATCCTTTATCCCATACCATAAAGGCCAACCTCAATCGTTCATTTCAGTTGAATTTTTTTCTGAACACCAGAAAGTCTTCCTTCATGTTGAATCTTCAATTATCTTTACAGTTAGTTTTAATATGTGTAAGTATACTTTGGTTTTTATTTACCACATAAAATATTTCCATGGTCTTCTTTCTCTTAACACAAATTTATTGCTCAAATTAGAGACTTTCCTAGAGGGGATAAAAGAACCTCAAAACCTACCCCACATACTGAAACAGAGTAAACAAAAATTGACAGTACACTGTCATCATTTGTTACACTGAACTACGATGTTTATTGAAGAAAAGCAGCGGACAGAACACTCACTCTTCTCAATCCACTGTGATTCTTTGCTGCTCCCTTACTTGCTCTACCTGCTCTTTGATCATGGGGCGCAAGAGCCATGATGTATCAGTTGTGAAGAGAAGTAGTTGTACCAAATAAGAATGAACGAACCCTGCCAAGATTCCCCCAAAGCCCCTTTAAGTTTAGTGTTCATTTTTAAAAAACATTTAAGCTACTAAAAGTTTTTCTAAGTTTCTGTGACTTCTTTTGTTTGTAATGTGTTTTCTCTATGATGAAACAAAATGTTACGCCATGAGTAAGACCAAAATCTTCAAGAGATTAAGTTTTTTAAATGTATTGGGTCGGAAATGTCACGACGTATTTTTTGTTTTTCAATGCAAAAATGCATCATGACTTTCCCGACAACCCAGTAGTAGTTGGGGATCCATTTCCTGCCAAAAGTTTTGATACGTTGAGGGTTTTGTTCTGGAGAATGTGTGTGACAAGCTGCTGTCTTAACATTTTTTGTGTGTGTCTCTGTGTTTTAACACACTGCACTTTTTTCGCTTCCCTTACAGTTACGTAATCAAGGTCAAGTGAGGGGAACAAGTGCAGCCAGTGATGAGTGAAGAAGACTCTGACCGTTATCTTGGATGTTGGCGTTTCCCAGACATGTGCTTATGATTATGTACTGACATGCACAGGTTCTCAACCACATGTGTATATATGTTTGTGTGTGTATGTCTGTAGCTGTGTATAAAACGCATGTAGAGCTACAGATCAAAATACACACACTTGTGTATATATGTACATATAAACATACTGAAGGGATTAGTACAATTTCTCCAAAGTACTGTACCTATCTTCAGCAAGAATGCAAAAGAAAATATTTTCAATATATAGACTTGGGACAGATTTTAATAATTAGAGTAATACCATTAATGGACAAATTGACTGCAATGTAATACTAGCTGTTATGTTTCATAAATGTCAAGTTGTGGACCAATATATATGTGCGTGCGTGTGTGCGCGCGTGTGTGTATGTGTGTATACACACACACACACATATATATATCTATATATAGTCTTTTATTACTTTTCTGTTCTTTTAAATCGGTCTCTTATAAATTTTTATTTTAGTCCCATAAACAGACTCCCACAGAAAAATCTCTTCAAAATCTTTTGCTATTCAATGAATCTGGAGCATAAACCCTGACTGTATATATAATGATTTATTTCTGGACGGTCATTATCTTACAGCCAAATTGGACAATATCTATTACTAAGGAGTAAAGTTATAGGCCAGTTTTTACTTGTTTGCCTTGAGGGACAAAATCGTTTAAAAAAAGTGTTTTTTTCGATTTTTATTGGATTTTTTGTATTTTTAAATTTCAAATATTTTTCTATATCAGACGTAGCAAAAACGAGATTATGGTTTGTGATGTATAATAAACACTATACAATTTTTAGGCTCCTGTGAGGCAAACAAGGAAATTGATGAAGAAATTAATAGCATTGTAAGCTGTTTAGAAAAATTGGAAGTACAGTGCTTCCACGGAGTCTTGTTTTTGAAATGACTGTTTTCTGAAATTACAGCTTGGAAACTATGCAAATGATCTAGATTCCTCACAGCTTCCATGCTCGACTGTAGATAGTGATGACGTTCTGCTCTTTTCCTGCTGAAACACACGTTTAAGGGGGAGATGCTGACTTTGAAATAGGAGGAACCGAAGAGGCATGAGGCTTGCCCGCACACGGTTGGAAGGCCCTGCTGAGGAGCCAGTGCGCCCAGCCCTTTTGGCTGTGCTCTCAAGTAGGATGTCATGGGGACAGACCCTGAGTAAGCATCATGAAAATGCTAGTTAGAAGCTGCCGCCGCCTTTGTTTTTTTTAAAGAAAGGAACAAAAATAAAATCCTAGCTAGGTAAGATTTTCATCAGCTTTCTGTGTCCGAATCCTGTTTTTCTCCTGTCAGTCCTGGAAGCTTGAATAGAATGATATTGTTGAAGCCTTCGGGTCACAAACTGTCTTCTTTAACCTCTCGTCCCTCCTCCAACACGCCAGCCCCTGTAGTCACATCACATTAGTAACCTGATTTGCTGACAGCTCTGCCCCCCCTTCTCTTTTCCCCATATGTCCTGTGTCCCTACCAAAGTGACTGTAGTGACTCAGACAAGGATGTCTCCTGCATTGTGATGCCCTGTTATCCTCACACAAACCCCACACTGCGTATGTCCTCTGTGTACTCAGGATCAAGGCTGATGTTTACTCTCTGGCCACTGTTGTGAGATCGCTTTTGTCAACACATAATCATTGTTTGCAAAGTATTTGATGCGAGGAAGATTATTGCTAATTTTGCGGAATAAAGAGCCTAGCCCTCTCCTTTTAATGAACTTCACTCTCGCTGGCATCTGTAGCATCATTGGGAGCTTGGGCGCGCATGGAAATGAGATCCCGGCGCATGGATTTTAATGTTTTTCTAACAACTGTGGAGATTTGAGGGAATGTGTGGTGAATGTAAAATATCTAGTTTACTTGGCAGTCTCTTGTGTAAATTACAGTAAAACAAAGTAAATGAAATTTAAACAAAAAATAAATTTGATCACAAAATGCCACTTGTGTGCTTGAGTGGTGGTTTCCCTGATGCCACGTCTGCTTCAGAATACTGCAGACCGCTTCTCGGCCGTTGTTGTTTTTTTTTTCAAGAAGTCTAATTTGCAGCACTACCACTCTGGGAAAAATAAAGAAAAAATGGTTTCTTGTGTTTTTTTGTTGTTGTTGGTTTTTTTTATTGCAAACTCCTGTTCTTGAAATGTGCTTATGCCACATTAAGTTGTTGTATTTGGTTTCTTAAATAATTATCTGTATTTAAAAGCTAAGCAGTAAACTAAAGAAGGATTATTTATGAGTCTCAGAAGTTTTGTAAAAACCATTTTTAAAGGAAAAAAATACGGAAAACCCATAGTATTTTTATAAGCACTTAGTAAGGATTTTGCCATTGGATTCTGATTGTTTGAAGATCGTGGCTTTTTAGTTTGGGGTTTTGTTTTTACCTCCCCTCTTGTAGGACTCTTGTCATTTCCAGCCTGCTGTTTTTGGATGTGTAACAACTATTTCCTCGTGGTTCCAGCTTAACATTCTCAGGTTGCTCAATCTTCGGAGAGGTGGCTGGCTATATGGATATATTTAATATATAATGTTATATTTCCGGGGTGTTCTTTTGTTTGTTTTCTGGGGTAATTTCCTTAGTGTTTTATTTCAGACATAATATTTGCATTCATGCTGGCAGTCTTTATTGTTCATGCATTCAGTAACCTGATCACTTACACATCCAGCACTCGGTTCTCGCAGGAGGTACTGAGATGAATACAAGCAGTGCACAGTCCCGTGTGGGAGACAGACATGTGAACAGATAAATTACAGTTCCATTTGATAAGTAGTCATTGAACAGTGAAGAGTTTGTTGAGAAAGATCTCTGACATTATTTACATTGTACAAAGGAGAAAGCTGAAAGTCCAGCCCAAAGGCAGCTGGAACCTGAAGAGCCCAGTGCGCTGGCTCTTGGGCAGGAGCCGAAGCGGGGTGGGCCTGGGGTCAGACACATCCCTCCTGGCCGCTCACTGGACCTTGGACTCCTTGTCTGTCAGTGGAGGCCATAATGCCCAGCGGTAGAGTGTTCAGGGTCATTGAGACCCGTCTCCTGTAGCATATTGGCACTGCCCTCTTAAGTGTGATTTCTCCCTCCCTATTCCATTCATTTCCCAAACTGCCTCCTGTTTGATATAAAATCACTTTGGACCTAACACCTGGCTTTCCAAAAACCTCACCCCCCTCTTCAATTTGCTGAGCTGTTAAAGTTTCGCAGCCCAACCTCCTCAGATCTTGTCTCTGAGGAAGTAAGAGACACTTATTAACAGTTGTTTTGTACATCTCCTCGCAGCAGCTGAGCTGACAAAGGGTTGGTATGGAATTCCCTGTTCTTAACTGTTGGAAGGAGGATCTTGTGAGACTGCTTAGACCTTCAGACCTGATGTCACTGAATGCCACTGGATATCAGGAGATGGAGTTCAATGAATGCAAATCGTTTTTTTCAAGTTACCCTCACCAGCAATTTTAGAGTTTGGGACTTCGTGTGATTGGAGACGGAAAGTGCTCGGGGACAGGTTAAGGATTGACCCCGCTGAGCTTGGAACAGCTTCTGCTGACAGGGAGTGCTTCCTAGGAACCCTGCCAGTGTCAGTTGGGGTTATGTTTTCTGACTTGGAAATATTAAGTAACAGCAGGTCCCTTCAAAACCAGTTCTTCAACCTGATTGGATTAGGAAAAGTAGAAACTGCAAATATTCTAAAGCTGCCTTGCGAAAGTTCCAAGGCCGTGCTAAGCATTTAGAGCAATGCTCAGCAGTTTGGGACACCTGACGCCTCTACACTCATCCCTTCTGAAATGCTCCGCATTGCAAGGCATCTTTTATTGTTTAAAAGGAATTCAGAACTAATCGTGTTTGCTTCCCCCACTCCTTCAAGGTCTCTTGCACTCCGCAGACGGGGTCCCATGTGGAACCACTGCTTCCTGACTTCCTCATGCGTTTCTCTTCCATTGAATGAAATCATGAATTAAAATTTGTCCCTGGATGAAAAAAGAATGCCTCCTCCATTCTAGCCAGGCTCTTCTCGTTGTCCCCAGACTGTGTCTTGTGGGTTCTCATCTCTGGAGGGTTCTGTTACTAGGGCTACTGGTTTGAAAAGCTTCAGCTCGTGTGAACCAAAGGTTCTCAACCCTGGCTGCACCTTACAGTCACGTGGGGAACCTTGCAAACAAATGCCCAGCAGTTGCCTTTGTATGGCTTGGGTTCTGTGTGCCCTGTTTTCAAAGGACAGGGAAAGAGCTAAGAGAATCCCCACTCTTCCTGGAAGATCATTGAGAAGACTGCCTTCTCTCCAAGTAATCAGATATCTATCCATTCTTCAGTGCCAAGTGCCACCCTCCACGCTGCCTGCCTTCACCTGGAGTGATCCCTGCAGCAGTCCGTAGCCTTCATTTGGCTCTTACAGACTCTATGCTGCCTTGGTTAATAGATACTGTCATCTTTTATGTGTCTGTTTTGCGTCCCAAGTTAGCTTGGGAACGTCTCATGGGCAGGAGTCAAAATTGTACCTCAAAGTCACCCCCACCCCCCGATGGAAACTTTGAAACTGGGCCTTTGCCCCCCACAACAGATACCTGCGTACCTGGTGCAAGGTCCCTTTTTGAGTTGAGTTAGAGGAGAAACCAAGAAATATATATATAACCAAGAAAGTAGTAAGACCTAATTTCTGGTCTCAGAATGAAAGCCTGACAACCAGCTGCAACAGGAGGGAGTAGTTCTGTAGCCAACAGCACAGTCCGATGAGAGGACAGAGGAGGGAGCGCCAGGTCCGTGTTTCCTCCTGACTTTGCAGCTACCTGCCCAGAGTTTTGCTAGGCTCCTCCAAAGGAGTCTAAACTCAAACTCACTCTTTTCTCCTCCCCCCCAAATGTACTATTCTCCCATCAGTTAATTGCATCACTGCCTGTGCTACCCAAGCCAGAAATCCTACTTGTTCACGGAGTCTTAAAAGTGTCCCCAAACGCCTATGAAATCCTGCTCCTCTTCATCCTGGTCCAAGCCATGTTCTGATGAGCTGTCCTCTCATCTAGGGTCGGGGGCCACAAACTTGCTGTAAGAGGATAGACAGTAAATATTGGGTGGTTGGAGAAGTCATGACTCATTTTTGCAACGAAAAACAGAAAAAATACATCATGACTTTTCCAACAACCCCATATTTTAGGCTTTCCAGGTGGTATGGGCTATCGCAGCTCTGCCTTTGTAATGCAGGCACAGCCATAGGCAAAACGTAAACATAGAAGGGTCCCTGTTCTGGTAAACACAGCACAAACAGGTAGTGGACCGGATTTGGCCGCAGCAGTCGTAGTTTGCCAACCCCTGGCTTAGAGCATGGACACCATCAGGCTCTGCCAGAGGTGACTTTCTAGAACCTCTCTGAACGTGATGCAACCCTGCTTGAACATCTACACAGCTCCCTGAGGCCCAAAAGACCAGTGCAGCCAAAACGTGATGACTAGTGAGGGCCTCATTCTGCTGTCTGTAAAAGTGCAGCCAATGATGCTCGTCCGCACTGTGGCTGTCAGAGGGACTGAGTTTGTCTCCGCTGCCCAAAGCCCGGATGTTGTCCATACAAAGGGCTCGAAGCATAGAAGGCGGCTGCTACCGTTTGCCATCAGATTCCCAATCCAACCGAAAGTTGAAGGGTACCGTGATGATGGGCTAACAAAAGCTGTTGCTGTAGGAAATACAATGCAGATAATGCTGGCTAGCGAAACTATCCTCAATTGGCATATTTACCTCACTGTACGTCTGTTGTCCAGAAAATACCATCTGTGGCTGTTCAGCTAAACGCTGTCCTCACGGAAAAAGCTCATGGATGTCCTGTACATTTTCCATAATTGAAAGTTGGCTCTCTAGATACCACTGCAGACACGTTGGGCCGAGCGTGGCTTTTGTGGCTCCTGGTGGGGTGAGGTAAGGTCAGGCCTTTGCCTAGAAAATCAGCCCCGAGTTTCCCTGAGTCAGTGACACTCGACCTGGGGTCGAATCTGTTGACTCCCTGAATTCTGAGAAGCAGCAAATCTCTGTGACATGCCTCTGCCCGGTTGATCCCTTGCATATTCTGACATCACCTGCTCATCAGTCCAGAGCAGAACTGCCTTGCACTCCAGACTGAGGGAGGTTCATGAAGTGGAACAAAGAAGTGGCTTATGGTTTTATTAATGTACGTGCTAAACAAAAGCTTCGCCTCTGGGCACCTCGTTGCATGCTGGCTCTCCCGTAGCCTAGAATGCTGATGGCATGTTTTGTCAGAGCCACCTCCACTTTCACTTGGCCCGGGAAGCCCTGAAACAACTTGGCCTACTGAGAGGTGCTCTGAGTGCTTCCCATCCACGCTGCTCTGTCCCCACCACTTGAAACAATCATTTCCCGGGAGGCGCTGTGAGACAAGAGACTTCTCCCGAGTGAGCCTGGAGGAAGGCTCAGAATTAGACGGCCATTCATTCATTTAGATCAGAGGTTGGCACACTTTAAAGGGCCATAGAGTAAATAATTTTGGACTTTGTGGGCCATATTGTCCCTGTGGCAACTACCCAGTTCTGCCTTTGTAGCATGAAAGCCGCCATCGATGTTATGGAAACAAACGGCGGTGTTCAAATAAAACTTTATTTACACAAACAGGTAGTGCTCTAGATTTCGCCCAAGGGCCCTAGTTTGCGAATCTCTAAATTCTTCCCAAAAGATAGCCAACATGTCACAGCACTATGTGTCAGGCACTGTTCTAAGCACAGCACATACATAAATGGCCTGTAATCTTCCCAGCCACCCAATAAAGTAATAATGTTATCTGATGAGGAAACTGAGGCCCAGAGCAGTAGGATTTTGCTAGGTCATGTTACCAGAAACGGGGCCAGGGTGGTTAGTCCTGCAGACGAGCATAACCACCTCCCTGTCTTTCAGAACCACCAAGTTCCATGCCTGTGGCTTTTACTAACGGTCCATGTCAGGTGTGGCCATAATGATAAA